AAAAAAAAAAAAAAAAAAAAAGGAGAAAGAAATGAGAGAAAATATAATAGTCATTTCTCATACAAATGGGCGATGGGTATATTAAAAAATGTCCAACAATACCAATTATTAGGAAAATGTAAATTAAAAACCACAATTAGTTATCACCTCACACCTGTTAGGATGACTGTTACTAAAAAATCAACAGGTAAGTATTGGCAAGGATGTGGAGGGAAGGCAACCTTTATACATTGTTAGTGGGACTATAAATTCGTATGGCCAATATGGAAAACAGTATAGAGATTCCTCAAAAAACTAAAAATAGAACTACCATAGAATCTAGCAATCCCACTTGTGAGTATGTATCTAAAAGAATTGCAATTAGTTTCTCAAGAGATATCTGCACTCCTGTGTTCACTGCAGTATTATTCACTGTAACTAAAATATGGAAATAACTAGGTGTTTATTGATGGATGAATGGATAAAGAAAATGAGATGTGTATGTGTGGGTGCATTATATATGTGTATATATACATATATGTACATATGTGTATGTGTATACTAAATATACACATACTATATGGTATATGTATACATATATGTAAACTTAGTATATATAGTATACCATATATGTATACATATATGTAAACATTCATCTTACAAATTTTCATTTATAAGATGAATAAGTTCTTGGCAAAGAATGTACAGCATAGTAACTATAGGTAATAATGATGTATACTTGAAATTCAGTAAGACAATAAATATTAAGTGCTCTCACCACACACACACACACACACACACACACATACACACACACACGCTAACTCTGAGGTGATAGGTATGTAAGCTTGATTCTATTGTTATTACAATCAATAATTGTTTTTAAAAAATCATGTTGTACATCTTAAAACAATTTTTGATAGTCATGCCTCAATAAAGCCGGAAATAAAATAACATTGGTTTTGTATATTATCTTTGCATACAGAGATCTTACTAAATTAATGCTACTGTGTTTTATAGACACCTGAGGCTTTTCTGCTTAAACTGGAAACAAAAGACAGTTTAAATTCTTCCTATTTCATCTTTATATTTTTTGTTACTCTTTATTTCCTTATTTCAATACCTGGTACTTCTAATATATTGTTGACTAGAAGGGGTGAGGTTGGACCTTCTTGCCTTTTACCCAAATGTGGATGGAAGTCATTTAATATTTTATCATTAAGAATGATGTTAGTTGACATTCTCAGCAAACTGACAGAAGAGCAGAAGATCAAACACCGCATGTTCTCACTAATAGGCGGGTGTTCAACAATGAGATCACATGGACACAGGGAGGGGGCACTACACACTAGGGTCAGTTGGGGGGAAATAGGGGAGGGACAGTGGGAGGTGGGGAGCTGGGGAAAGATAGCAAGGGGAGAGTTGCCAGATGTAGGTGATGGGGAGGAAGGCAGCAAATCACACTGCCATGTATGTACCTATGCAACAATCTTGCATGTTCTTCACATGTACCCCAAAACCTAAAATGCAATAAAATAAATGGAAAAAAAAAAGAAAAAAAGAAAGAATACGTGAAATACAAAAAAAAAAAAAGAATGATGTTAGTTGAAAGACTTTGTAGATACTCTTTCTCATTTTTTTTTTGTCACTATAGTGGTTGCTGTTCTCTCTTCCTCTTTCCTGCATTTTTCATTATTTGAACTTTAAAAAAAGTCCATTTGCATTTTCCCATTGACATTTTGGCATACCTCTTTGCATTACTTTTTAAATGATTGTTTTCAGAATTACAACATATGCTTCTAAATTTTTGCAGTTTACCTAGAGCTAATTAATTCATATAAAACATAGAGATTCTGAGATCTTATGTTTATTTTCTTCCTGCCACTAAGTCGTCATACGTCTTACATCTCTATACATAAATATCCCACAAGGCAATATTACAATTTTTTATTTGCTGCTTTGTATAAATTTGAAAGGAATTAAGAGAAATACAGTATTTTTCCTTAGCTTTATTGAAGTATAATTAACAAATAAAAATTGTATATTTTTATGGGGTACAATGTAATATTTTGACATATGCATACATTATCAAATGATTAAATCAAGCAAATTAACATATCCATCACTTCACAAATTTATAAAACTTTTGTGATAAAAACATTTGAGATCTACTCTCTTAAGTATATTTTATTATTAAATATAGTCACTGTGCTGTACAACAGATCACCAGAAAAATATTTTATGTCTTTTTATTAAACTAGGTATTTACCATTTTAGATTATTTTCATATATTCCTACAAACAAGCGATTACCTTTCTCCCCTTGATGTTATGCTTCTTGGTTGTATGATCAAGGTCACTGCTGTAACAACAGTATCTTGATTCTACAGCAACAAACAAGAGGTCCAGAGACTGTCTTCCAGAAATGTCAATCTGAAAGATCAGGGCAGAGCATGTTTGCACTGAATTCCAGCCTTTATTAGTTGGGATTGCCCTTAGGAGAATTTACTGCTTCCACATCTAGGATGTGCTTGCATGAGGACTGAGCAGGCTTCTAACAGTTTCCTAGAAGGTCTTAGACTTCAGATAAGAAGTGGAGCATTCAAGTGGAGAGGTTTAGTGGTTAGCCCTGGAAGCAGGAAACTGACAATGTAGATTGGAATCACCCAGTGCAAATTCCTTGAACTCCTCAGTCTCAGTTCTCTCATTTGAAAAAATAAGGGTAATAAAAACACCTCATAAAATTGTTATAAGGATTAAATGTGTATAAACTGTTAAGCATAGTTGTTGACATAAAGCGACTCTGAATGAATGCTGGTTCTAATTATAATGGTGGTGGTAAACCAGCTTTCTCAAAGAGGGGCTTCAGGGGTTGAGATAGGAAATTATAAAATTAAGATTAGCAAGAGAATTAGGGAAAAATTGAGTCTTTGGGTTGAAAATACCTATGTTCTACCACTGTCTCGCTATACCATAAGGAACCACTCAAGAGACAACTCTTTGAGATATCAATGGTGAGAGATTATTTCTTATCTGAGAATCATCCAAACATCTTTCTTTTTTTTGAGATGGAGTTTTGTTCTTGTTTCCCAGGCTGGAGTACAGTGGAGTGATCTTGACTCACTGCACCCTCCGCCTCCCAGGTTCAAGCTATTCTTCTGCCTCAGTCTCCTGAGTAACTGGGATTACAGGCACCCAGTACCACACCCAGCTAATTTTTGTATTTTTAGTAGAGATGGTGTTTCACCATGTTGGCCAGCCTGGTCTTGAACTCCTGACCTCAGGTGATCTGCCTGCCTAGGCCTCCCAAAGTGCTGAGATTACAGGCATGAGCCACTGCGCATGGCCTACATCTTTTTTAATTTGTATATCTTCATAAAACCTTCAAGCCACTTATTTTCTTAGTTTTTCTCTGATAATTCGTATATATGTGTTTACATTTTTTATTACTTAACATTCAACTTTACATCAAGTTCTACCTCATATTCCCCTAAAGTACTTAATGGTACATCTTATAAATACCAAAACAAAATTCTTATCAATAAACACATATTGAGTAGGTAAAGCTAAGGCTAGTATTTTACATCTGAAGTTTAGTATTGAATATTTCTTAATCATAAATATCATAGTAAACTTGTAACCAGTATTTATTTGTAAGA